TTTTTTTTTGGTGAACGAGCGACAAAAGAACGCTCAACTCGGGTAAAATTTCCTTTTAGCTACTTAAGCAACCCTGTTGGTATCTGGCAAGAAACATGTGATTAGTTTAACGGGTTTCAGACATAAAAATATATACTTATTTAAAATATAAATCATGTATGTATATACGAAAACAAAAATTTGCCTCTCCACTTTCCCATTAACAATTCACAATAGAGCAATTTTTCACTTACCAACACTACCCTTCCGGTCGCGTATTTTTTAACCGATAAATAGCCGAGTTTGTGTTGTTGGTTTGCAGGTATGTATTTCGTTATTTAAGCGAGTGTTCTTTTGTAGCTCGGTTGCAAAAGAAGGCACCCAGTATGTAACTTTGTGGCTGTAAACTTTCGTCCCAATTGAAACCCCCTTTATTAATAACTTAGCTGCTTTCAAGAAAACCATCAGATTCAGATTGATACTCAGTTCAGAAGAAGGTAAAGCGGCTCTTTCTCTTACCATCTTCATATCATTTCGGTCAAGGGACGCATTTTAACTGGAATAGGTTCGATTGCGCTTCAGAAGTATGTCTGATATCAAATGTATCTAAATTCTAAATTCCTAATTCCATAAACATAAGATTAGGCAGGGAAGTGGTAAGGACCGAGGGGTGAAGTGTAAGTTGCTTGTAAGGCATTATTACGTGCTCATATTTCCTACGGGGTTGTAGCTAAAATTTGACAATAATGACAACATATGTGCATATGTAAATGAACATATCGCACACCGTCTTCAAGAGAGTCACAACTCAAAATTTGGCATTTTTGAAGTTATGGCTAAACATACACACAGAGCTTTTATTTACCTTTCAGCAAAAGCTGAAGCAAATTTTTGTTATAATTTGTTTAAAAAAAACCTAGTTTTTCGCATTTTATGACGAACGTATTATTTTGAGTTGTGACTCTTTTCAAGATGGTGTGCGATATGTATTTATATGTATAAGTACATATGTACATGTAGATACATATGTGCACTTTAAGTGCATATAAATAAAAAAAACATTTTTCGCTTCGCACTGATTTTTATTGTTTGCTGTTTTTTGTGGCAATTTCGCTCAATTTTTATGATTTTGCGCACTGAAGCGAAAACACAGCACAGCTGATTTCACACACCTCGATATGTCAAACAGATGTAGATTGAAAAAAAAAAAAAATCACAACAAATGAAGTGAAAAGTAACCGGATTGTGAATGAGCTTTTAGCTCAAATTTTTTCGAGTAAGATTTGAGCGAAAAAGTTGAGTTATATTCCAATTCAATGCGTCTTCTATTTGTTGCAATCATTTTGTGAACAACGAAAAAAGTCAGAACCCTTAAAGCGAAACTAAGAAAAATGTATGTATTATTTATGCCTATTTATGTATGTATATATATTTGTAGATACTTATGTATTCGTCGTTTAAAGTACAAAACCGCGTAACGTCATTCTGCAAAACTACGTAACTGGCATTTTCTGCCAAAAATTGGATTTACTCACACAAGCTCTTGGCTCAATCCTTATCCATTCGTCCTGAAATATAGTAGCCATTTTGAAATATGAGTGTTTTTACGCTCTAGAAAATAATTTCTACAACCTCGCGTACGCGGTTTTGCATTTTGTTGATACGCGGTTTTGTACTTTAAACGACGGTATGTATGTATGTATGTAGGTCTGTATATACATACCTAAAAATATATGTAAAGTAAATTTTCAACGCGCGGAAAATTAATGAATTGACTTTGAAACTTTGCTCAAATCTTAATATATGTACATTAGGGTGGTCCAAAAATGCATGTGGGGGGGGAAAAAGTAAAGTCGTAATTTTTATGCTCTAACCCCCTAGGATTGTTCTATACCGAA